GGTGCACCTCGCGGCGAGGCCCCGGCCCCACGGACACGCGATGCATGTGGGGGAACCGTGGAGGGGGGGGGGGGTCATCGGTGTGCAGCGGATTGATTTGAGGGAAAACTCACAAAACATGCCCCCCCCCCACACACACACACCCTAAAACCGCAGTATCCATGGTATCTGGTGTCGTTGTCTCGCCGTGTCTGGGGGTGGATTTCAACAGTTTAGTTGGCTATCAATGTCAACGTCAGTCGAAATGACTGCATAAATGCAATTTGAACAACTTTTACAGTAAGGCAAATAACATCGATGTTCTAGGAGGAGTTTCATAGTTTATTAACAACCAAGGTGAGTCATAGATTTCCATGTCATTACATAAATACACACCATACACACAAAAAAAAAACAAAGAAAATTCATCAGCGCAAAAAAATTTGGTGAAGTAAAAAAACAATAAAATAACAACTGGGTGGCTTTTAAGCAGAGCTTGAATATTTGAGTCAACAATAAAAAAATAAACTTTTGAAAAAAAATGTGTATAAAGCTATCTGAGAAACAAACTGGCTTTAAAAACTAGAAAGGCAGGGTTCATCACTTCAACACAAGTCTATTTCAGAAGGCGCCCCCGATTAGTGGCCTCGTAAATCTAAACTACCAAAAACTACACAAAAGATTGTGTATAAAGTGAATACTTCTGAGAAACAAACAATTCTGTACAAAAAATAAAAGCAACAAAAATAAAATCTTCATCTAGGCGTTTGCCGATGTGTATTGTATCGTGGGCCCTGGGCCCCCGGTAGAAGGGCGGCTTCAAAGGGGTTGCTGACGATAGCAGAGTCGGTCAGCTGGTCACACCGGGCCAAGCTCACTACTTCACCAGGAAAACACCGCACTGGTCAAAGTTTGTGTCACCGGCTGTGCGACCCGCTGCCGGTCCTGGCCGCGCCTAGAAGTCTTCCTTGTACCTCTTCGCATCGTCGCCGTCGCACATCCAGCACAGCACCGCGGCGCCCGCGGGCAGCGCCCCCAGCAGCGTGCTGCGCCGCCGCGAGCACTCGTCCTTGTCCCGCGACATGTGCACCCTGTGGTTGGCGGACAGGTCGGCCAGCACGTCCACCAGCACGAGCCGCCTGAGCGCGCGCAGGTCGCACCTCTTGAGCAGGGCGAACAGCTGGTGGCACGACATGTGCTGCGTGTGCTTGCCCTCGTCCAGCTGCAGCACCTCCAGCGTGAGGCGGTGGGCCGGCAGCAGGGCCGGCATCAGGCCGAAGGGGCACGACACCAGGTCGAGCCACTGCAGGCGCGCCGGCACGTCCGTTAGGCCCTCCGACAAGGAGTCGGCGGCAACACTAGCGACCTCCCCGTGAAGGTCGTTGCCGCGACAAGCACTGACGCGCAGTCTCTTCAGTCGTGGCATGGCGAGCACCACGCGCAGGATGTGAAGCGAAGCCTCACAAAGACTCAGCTGATCCAGAGTGGGCTCGGCGATCTTCAGCGCCTCGAAAGAAATGGCATTGGTGGACACATTGAGCAGCCGTTGCACCTGTACAAAAAGAGAGAATCACAGGATTAGGGGTGGGGAGAGGGGGGAGCGTCCCTGCCAAAGTGCACATAGCTACTTAAATAAACCATTCTGGTAAAGCCTGCCGCAAAGAACGTGTTGATGGGAGAGACAATGATTAAAGCCAAGCCCTCACGTCGATAACCTGGACCGAGTGTGGACTAAAAGACTTACCCCACGAATCATCTCTACATTGACAGCTCTATCCTCGGCCCGAACACTGGGGGAGAGGTCCTTTACAACATCGAGTGAGCGGGTGTAGATGTTGTTTGTGTGCTGGTGGAAAAATACTAAAATATAACCGCTACGCAAAACCTTAATAGAAAGGGTATTGGCGAAAGTTGCCATAACAATAGTACCGCTTTCAGTTCTCCTTTCGCCGCCGCGAGGATTAAGAGGGCTTTGGTGCTGGCGTCCTTGGTGTCCTGCAGCTTCCCCGAGAGCACGTGGCTCCCGCACCGCAGTGTCAGGTCCCAGGACTTGCCGGACAGCAGGGCGACGGCGTGCGCGGCCTCCTTGTCCTGCAACTGGTTCTTAAGTCGCTCCAGCTCGCCCGCAGCCTGCGGCAGGGCGCCCTCCAGGAGGTGCTCCAGAGCTGCCCTCACACCCAGGACGTCGTGCTGGACCCAGCACCGGGGCGTGGCTAGGGCGCAGCACCTCGAGCACCACCCTGGGGTCTTGTCGGTCCTGCGGGGTCACAGAGAGGTCATGAGGCACGGTCCACACGCATAACCAGCTGAGAGCTCGCGTCGAGTCACCGCTGGTCGCCCACCTGTCCGGTCGATCCTGGAGTAATTGCAGCACATTGAAGTTGTTGGGGAGGCTGGCCGGCGCGACCTGGAACTCCTGCAGGAGAGGATTCGAGTAAAATGGAACAGATGAAAAATCCGGACAAATCGGGGTGAGAGTAGGCTACCGAACCCACCTGCCGGCACGAGGGGCACTTCTTGTCACCCAATCGCTGGAGACATCCCAAACACACCGTATGTCCGCACGGCATCACTTTGGGCAAATGACCAGCCTGGTTGAATGACTCCATGCATATGCTGCAATCCATTGTGGGACCTGGAGCAAACCACAGTGTTACCGAGACGATCCAAAGCGCCCTGCCAGTTTGCGGACACGACACCGTGACCCCCCCTAGTGGATTTTCGGTGACGCTTTCCCATTACAGATCAAAGGGTTTCCTCGTGGAAATAACAACAAACAGAAATTTGTCTGACGTGCAAGCGAGAAGCGCATGTGAAAAGGGGGTGGGGGTGGGTGGGGGCATAGGCAATTTTTCAAACCTATCCCGCGTGTGTTTTTATTAGTTTTCAACTTATCATGGTTTTATCACGTAACTAGCATTAATAGCTCAATAGGCGGTGCAAAGGCAACTGGCCAATTTTCATTCACACGAGTGATCTGAACAAGCCGGAGCGAGGGGCTCCTAACCTCATCTGCGTTTCTACAGCCACGCCGTTTCGAAACTGATAGGGTTGTCGTTCACGATATTCGTCCTTTGGTATCGAGATGAAAGAAAAAGCGCGTGTGGCGTTGTACTCACAGTAAAAGGATTAAGCCAAGGTGGAATTCGAAGGTTCAGAGTCTAAAGAGTTCCCTTGATACTCGTTGCAGCTGCCGACTTGAGGATCGTGCGTGAGTGTCACGTGACCAGAGTGTCTGATAGACCTCTTTGCCCAACTTGCCAACAGCGCAAATCTCGAGTCCGATTCTTAGGATGTTATCTGTGTGCGTTTCAAATAGTCACTACACTAATTGTTCAAACTCAATTCATGTAGTTTACGAGTGGCAATCTGTACTTCATATCGACAGTCACTCTTAATACGATTATTGGACTTATCACAAGAAAAAATTCCGGTACGCGATGTTGCCACGTCGTGTAGAAACGATATGGGACTTCCCTCAATGAAGTCATTACGACCAAGGCAAAGTCATAGCCCCCCC